ATATGTGTTGTTCGCTGTCGGAAGCGTTGGCGGTGTCGTGGGGTTAATCGACATTCTATTGAATTGACTTTGTAATGCTGCAATTGGGTTTTGCTGCGGTGCTCGTGTCTGGACTCGAGCTAGGTCTGCGCGTAGCGCTTTGAGCTCGTGTGATTGCTTGAGGTATTGTTCTTGTTTCTCTACAAGCCGACTTCCCTTGAGCTCTGTCACCGCTTTCGTGAACTCCTCCCACTTGGTATATTCTTCGTCTTTCAATAGATCCTTTACGATGTCCGGCAGTTTACTGCGGACTTGCCATATCATCGACATGCTCTGTTCGATGCCTGCGTCTGTTGCGAGTTGAAGTGTCTTCATCGCCCATGCTACGTGCGTCCAGCATTCTCTATCGTAGAGCGTCTTCTTCTTTCCTACGTCTTCTTCTCGTAGTATATGCTCTAACAATTCTTTCTCGTACTCTGCTCTTGTCTTTTCCGCTATCTGGACTGGCGGCCAGCGTTTCTCGAATGCTATCACAAATGCATTCCATGTCGCTTTGTCTTTCGACTGCAATGCTTTGAACCATCGTTCTGCTTGTGAACTTGTTCCGAGGTAATCACCAAAAGCGTCTAATTTGTCGGTGCTGTCTGTTATTGTCTGCTGACGCATTGCTCGATTGAAGGATTTCAGGAAATCCACCGGATTTTCTGATGCTCTTCCATCGCCGTGAAATATCTGCGGGGTCTCTACAGGCATGACGGCTTTTAACTGTGCGAGTGCAAAGAATTCGGCTAGATTGTAATTCGGTACTGTGGAGATGGATGTGAGCTGCTCTGTCTTCATGCGACGACATGGTTGTTGGACTTCGGACGATGGTATGTAGATGTCTAATTTTTGGACTTCTAGTTCTGGGAAGGGGACTTGATTGTTCTGCTGTTCGTCTTCTTCCGAGAGGCTGCTTAGTGACGATGTGCTACAGTGACTTGGTGTGTTGTGTCCTGATGGATCTGGTGTATCGAGAGGAGATGATGCTGCTGATGTCTTTTCTGACCAGAGTTCCCAGTTCGTTTTTAAACGAACGTTGGTTACCGCTTGTCCTTTTGCTGTTCTGGGTCTCAATTTGTTAGCTTTGGGCATCAAATATAAACGTAAATGCGAGTAAGATGAACACTGCTCTTTTTTGTAATTGGTGTTGTTTTTGATGTGAGTTGCGACGTAATAAGACTGTATGTTTCTGTAAATGGTTCGTTAGCTTCTATTTGGGAGCTTCTATGTTCTATTCTATGACTAAAATCTAGACCGCGAGCTAATGCTTCTTTCTTCTGCGTGCTTTTTTGTGTGATAGGTGTGTGATGCAATATCGCGCTGGTTCGGATTCTCTCTGTTCACCACGATGGACTAGGACGAAAGCAGTGAGGGGAGAGCTCTATGATGCGTGATGATGTGTTACACTATGAACAGAGTTTGGCTATGTGCGCGTGTCGCTGACTAAGCTATGGCTATCGCCGAAGGACCAACTGCCTCTTGTCTATGTCTCTTCCTTTGGTCTATGCCTTGGGACCCCCGGTCCAACGAGAACCTATACTCTCTCATCTCGCTACTTCTATCAGACTCTAATATATTTATCTCAGGTACGAGACGCTCCTCCAGGCGCACAATTTGCCACCCTGGACATTGAAGCCGCCTATCGAGGCATACCGTGTCTCCCCGCTCACAAACCATATCTTATTGTTTACCATGATGGTAAACTATATATCGATCACAATATACCCTTCGGCTTAGCTTCTGCTGCAGGTCTCCAAGGCGAAGTAGCTGATGCCACTGTCGCAATCTGGAGAGAACTCAACGTCAAACCATCCAAGAAATGGGTGGACGACGTTAGCATCTTCCGTTTCCCTTCACCGACAGGTCTCTTCATCAGTTTCTCTGATGGCTCATTATACCACTACGAATACAATCTCAATCACGCCAAACTTCTCATTTCCCCCGCGAAAGTTCCGTGGCATCCAGACAAAGGCCAGGACTTCAGCGATACTGGCGATTACGTCGGTTTCTTCTGGGATCTCCCTCAGAAGTCTGTCTCGCTCACTGAACTCAAATGTCTTAAGTATATCGCACGTCTCTCTGAGTTTCTCCTGCTCTTCGAGAACTCAAAAGTCCAGAAACACGAACTAGAATCCGTCGCAGGTTTCTTAAACCACGCCTCCTTCGTCTATCTTCATGGACGCTCATATCTCTCCAGCTTATACTCGGCCATATCGGCCTATCATTCGAACGATTATATCCCATGCTGGCTACCCAAGTCCACCATTTCGGACATCAAATGGTGGCATTGTCTCCTCCTAGCAGATCAATCTCCACGTAGTCTCGCTCCTCATCCTCCTACCCGGGATTATGGCATATGGGTGGATGCATCCACAGACACGGGCATCGGGTTACTTTGGAATACCAAATGGGCCTTCTGGCGCACCAATGAGACTTGGCGCGGCCCATCTCGTGATATCAGTTGGCTCGAGGCCATCGCCGTTGAACTCGCTATCCGGCTCATATACAGTAAGCATATCACTGATTCCGACGTCCTCATATGGAGTGACAATCAAGGTGTGATAGCGTCCTTCAAAAAAGGACGCTGCTCGAATCATCTCATTAATATGTCCATTCGACGGTCCGAGGAACTCCTTCGAGAAGCGCGTGTCTCGCTTACGTTCATTTACGTCGAATCCGCTTCGAACCTCGCGGATCCTATATCTAGAGGGATCCTACCACCTCGTTTCTCCCACCTTTCCTCTCCCCCATCTCTACCTCCCGACATCTCCTCGTACTTTCGAGATGAAGGAAACTGAACTATACCGTCAAGTTATGCAGGGCGTTGATGTACAAGCCGCTGCCGCTGCCTTTTGGGCTGACAACCCACCCTCATCCATACGTCAATCAGTAGCGCAATCGTTACAAGTCTCTCGCACTCACACACCTCGCCCTCCTAGACTCAGTTTCTCCTTCACTCCATCTGTACATAGACCGCATGTTCTCGCCAGTGACCGTCTTCTTGTGTGGTCTACTCCTGCAGGTCAGGATTGGCAGGCCGATTTAGAAAAGAACTTCCCAGATGCATCTATCTTTCGCTTATTTCAAGTACGCCTTCTTGCGTCACTTCTCTAATATATCTGACCTCTCTTTAGGTCATGATTCGCTCTCTCGACCAAGACACTCGCAGCAACTACGGTGCTGGACTTCTCCGTTTCACGCAATTCTGCGACTTCATCAATGTTCCTGAAACTCAGCGCATGCCCGCCTCCAAAGCTCTACTTGCTCAATTCGTCGCAGCTTTCGCGGGTATCACCGCCTCCAAAACTCTCAACAACTGGATGGCAGGCCTTCAGTTCTGGCATATCGTCAACGGCGCTCCATGGCATGCTTCTGCCATGGTGCACCACACCAGACGTGGTTTCTCGAAAATGGTACCTCCTTCTGCTCGTCGTGCTAAGCGACCACCTGTCACTATCGAAGCTTTATCTATTCTTTTTGACAATCTCTCATTCTCCAATCCTTTTGACTGCGCGGTTGGATCTGCTGCCTTTATGGCCTTTTGGTGCTGTTGTCGTTTGGGTGAGCTCGTAATTCCGAGCCCCAATCTTTTTGACCCAATCAAACATGTTTCCCGCTCAGTTCTTCCTCTGGCCATCATCATCTTGTCCAACTCTGCTCGCGCCGCTTCTCTTCGCATACCTTGGACCAAGACCACGAAGGAAGAAGGTGCCATCATTTCCATCACTGCTCGCCCTCATCGCACGTGTCCCTTGGCTGCCCTGGAACAGCACACTCTCATCAATGCTAACGTTCCGGCGAATGCTCCCCTCTTCGCGTACCTAACACCTACGGGTTGGTCGCCGTTGACACGTCAAGACTTCATCTCTTGTTGCAACAATGTCTGGATCTCTCAGGGTTTTCCACCCATGCTGGGTCATGCTTTCCGCATCGGCGGGGCGACGGAACTGTTACTACAAGGGGTGCATCCTGATGTAGTCTCTTCACAGGGCAGATGGACCTCACGATCCTTCTTGGAGTACTGGCGCAGAATTGAGACCATCTTGCCTTTATTTATATCATCTTCCATCAACAATGATCGCATCGTGAATGTAGACACCATCATGGACTCTTACGCTCAACGTCTCTCACACCCTGCCCCCTCTACGTAATCATCCATCTCTCCTACCAATATCATACGGGCACTTTTCATCTTCCAATCACATCATCTGACATTTTCAATCGCATCTCTAAGTGTGTGGGTTTGGTCTCCGAAGGAGACGCTACCGTTGTGAGCTGCGCTTTTCTTCTGGTTTGGTATTGCTTTCTCCTTCAGACCTAACGTCTGCTTCCGATACTGAATCAGTCAGCGCTCCGAAGGGCTGTTTTTTCCTCTTCCCGATACGTGCAGTTTGGTCTCTCAATGCACGCGTTTTCGGGCACTTCGAGCCTCGGACACAGAGCTCCCAGTCTTTATAGACACCGAGCCAAAATCTGTCTCGGCCAATCAACACCAGCCCTTCCCACACAAAAAACCAAATCCTCCAACTCATTATTTGAGCACGCGAAGATTTGTTTCTCCTCTCTTAGAATTCTCTTTCACTTCTCGTGGATATTCACTCTCTACGAACATCTCTTTTCTACCTCGTGCTAAGATTGACATAGTTCACTAACTCGCGACACTTCAATCTTTCTCTCATTCCACCTTTAACGCTGATATACAAAGGTGGCAGTTTGTCGATTTCACACGATTCTAAATATTTACAAACTATTTGATCGGTCGTTCAATCCTCCTCCTGTGGCAATCATAATATTCATGCCTCGGGTGCGGGACATGCCCTTGGCCCAGCGTGACATGGTGTTCGTGTATATTGGCATATGATCAATTCCGTGCGTCCTTCCACCTTGTTGATCAAAGCATTCTCGAGAGACGACTTCTCATCTAGTCATGCAGCCACGCGCAAGCTGTTGCCAAGGACTTTTCCAGACTTCGAGACTGTCACTACCTCCCGATGTGTACTACACCCAATTTCGACTTCAATCTTGTATTTTCCAATTTGATGCCGTAAGGTGCACTGATGGTTTGTGGGTAAGAATGAAGTTGCACGACACTGATGTGGCATAACACTGTATTTATGCACAAGGTATATGATGACTACGACACCAGAGACTGAACTAGAGACGACCACAGTTCGGACCAACTCAATGAGAACTATAAATACAGGGTCAGTCTCGCTGTCTTCATCCAGATAATCCACCAACCATGTACATCCCTCCATTCAACACCACCTCATACTCCAGCACCACCCAATCACCCAATCCATCCTGGACATATGGCCAGAGAGTCTACGCCACTCCTGCCGGAAAAGACTGGCTTGCAGGTGAATCTGCAGGCCGGAAAGTCTACAGCACAACAGACATGGACAAGACGTACGTACTCATCCACCTGTTCATCAGCCGCGATCATGACCGTGATCGACAGCAATCTCAACAAGCTCTTGATTTCAGGCGTTCTACCACGCCCCATGACCCTCGTATCCACGATCAGCGAGGATGGCGTAGAGAACCTGGCACCTTTCAGGTAAGACACGCCTCCATAATCTAATATATTCTACATGCTTACCTGGCTTGCATCCACCAGTTGGTTCAACACAGTGAGCAATGCGACAAACAACGCGTCCCTCTAATGGTCTAATAACCTTTCCCATAGGTCACGAACTACCCGCCTGTCATCTCATTCGCGATCAACCACAATGCTACGGGCAGCCTAAAAGATACGACCGCGAACCTGAAGAACGGCCAAGGATTCACCGTGAACATCATCAGCGAGGCATTCGTCGAGAATGCAAATTCGACTGCCGTAGACGCTCCTCCCGAGTTCGACGAGTGGGCTCTCAGCGGTCTGACAAAGGAGAAATGCGTACGTGTGGACCTTCATCATTCGATACATGGACTAACAATCACGCGTTCAGGTGCAAATAAGAGCCTCGCGCGTCAAAGAAAGCGCTTTTAGCATGGAGTGCGAGGTAATTCCATTTCACGCCAAGCCCGCTCGCTCGCTGACAACGTCGCCTCTCAATAGCTGTACAATTCGATAGATATCACGCATCCAGTCACCGGCGAGCATAACGGCACGCTTATCCTCGCGCACGTCAAGTACTTCCACGTGCGCAAAGACATGCTCACAAGCAGAGGTGCCGTCGACCTCACAAAATTCAAGCCTGTCGCGCGTGTGGGCGATATTTCATATGCCCGGGTCGGAGATACATACAGGATCCCTGTGCCTTCATGGGCGAAGGAGGAGGGAAAGATACAGGAAGCATTGAAGACACTCGCATCGCTATAAAATAGAACGAGGGTGGCTTACCATTTCTGAGGAACATATGGAACATATACCATAGATCATATAGACATCAGCATCCAGGCGGGATAGACTCCGTCGCTATTTCTTATCCCTATGATAGAGCTTTATAATTGACTAGCAAGCCGTATTTTTCCAAGTGCACATGTTGACTCGAATGCAGACACACGATATCGTCCTCTCCAACCACCTCGAGAGTAGATGGTGCCTCTGCATGTCAAATTTTGAAATCTTGTATTTGCGAGGCTCATTTGCAGGGTATGTATGATATATAAGGCTATGATAATGTGATCGTCGACGTGTTGTAAACAAACCATTCAGCTACAATATGTCTAGGGTCCTGATGCTCATAATGCCAATCGAAGCTGGGTCTTTCATCTGCGCAATGATATATTGGTCCGACGCGACCCTCTTGTATTCTCCAACGCGTTGCTCCGCTACCAAGAGTGCGCTGAAAGCCTGCCCAAGGTGGACCATCAAACGCAATGATCGTGAGTGAACATCCGAGTCAATTGACAACTCCTCTTCTCCAGGTGAGTTGCTGGACGACTCGTCAGTGTCGTCTAATCCAGACTGGGACTCAGACCAATCCCCTACGCTCTCCTCTTCGTCTGCAAAGGTGAGCTGCTCTGAAAAATCAGGCAGCCCGAGGAGACGACGGTCCCATGGACGGACAAGAAAGAACGCCTGCTGACTGGGCCTTGCGCGCGAGAATTGAATCAGGGTCTTGTCTGTGGTGATCAGCAAGTCTCGAAGCCCATCTGCTTTCACTCCATATGTGGAATGAGAAGCGACACCCCGCCTTCGTTTGACTTCCGTGACACGGAATGCGATGCAAGGCAGACGGAGTCTGCAGTTGGCGAAGAGCGGAGCATTCATATTCTTGAGCAGGTTATACAAGTTCGAAGCTGAATCCACAGGCACAATGTTTCGCAACGAAGAGACCGCTGTCTGAATCTCATCTTCAGACAATGATGGTAGGGAGCATGGCGGGGCTGCATATGAGATGATGTCGGCTGGAAGGCAACTATTGAACTCGGACGATTGTCCGACCCAGTCCAGGGAGGTGATGTCACCCGATCTGGCCACGATCTCCTGCAGGAGCCGTCCGAGGGCATTCTGCTTCTTCTCGCCATAGATTACAGGCAGGTGGACGCCGAAGATACCAAACAACGAGTACGCGATGTCTTCCTGCATCGTGGTGACACATTTTGATGCCCATTGCAGCTTCTCTCGAGCGTCTCTCATCCCTGGACGAAAGGAGGTCAGGGCCTGTGCATATATTCCCGTCGCACCCTCCAACTCCTTGATGATTGCTGGGGGACGAGGTAGCAACGTTCCATGGCTTACCTCGTATCTGAGCTTCGGAAGCATTGTCCAACTTGGACAACATGATTGTGAAGGCCTCGATGGCTTCATCGTAACGTTGCGCGCCACGCAGCGCTGAGTGTGACAACTGGTACCCAACATGAGACGAAGGATTGAGTTCGGTGACCTATGCATCGCCGAAGTCAACATGGGCTACGAAAACGTGGATGCCATCGCACCTTTTGCGCGTCGAGGAGGGCATCCTCCCGTAACATTTTACTTAACTTTGCCTCGCTGCGATTTGCAAAGACGACATCGGATGCATAATCCAGGTCGATCGCCATCGAGTATAGGTCAATAGCCTTGTCGTAATCGCTTGCAGCGAAGGCAGCCTCTCCATTTGCAGCGCAGAGTGCGCTGCATTCCTGTTTGAAATCTGAGAAGAATACAGGTGAGGATTGTCGCCTGCGCGACATTACTGGCACTTGACTCGCCGTTGGACCTATCAAGGCAGTCAGCCTTGGTAATTTCGTCACTTGAAGTCATCATGTGTTGGTATGATTTCACGGCATCTTGGAGTTTGCCCGCCCGAAGGAGTGCATCACAGCGTTTATGGTGTGCCTGTCGCCACAAGGACTTCAGGTCCCAGCCAAAGAGCTGGACAAGGGATTGAGTTATGAAAAGCGTTATACATGTATCATCTTGACGTACCACCACCAAATCCTCATATATTTCATGAATGTTCGATTTCGATGATGAATCGCGAGAGTCGAGAGCAGCAGTGAAATGGTCGGCAGCTTCGTCGTAACGTGCGCCATCCAAGGCTTTGATCCCGAGTTGAACTTGTAGATATGCCTAACGTGCGAGTTGTAAAGATGATTGTTGATCACCAAGCATGGAGACACTTACTTGGACGATGCCACATGCGAGAGTGTCGGCATTCGGACAACCGGCAGCGAGCTCTTTGAGGAGCAGGTTTGCCTCGTCATGTTGATCTGCATTGAATAGCGCGATGGCCTGAAATATGCGATGAAAGGAAGAGTATGCGAGGCAAATGTAACATACCTTGGTCAATAGCAGAAAATGAGTGATTTCTGAATCCTGGTCCGTGTACATGGAGGCAACATCAAATGCTGCCCTCGCATCCAGGACGCGGCCTTTTCCACAGAGGGCAATACCCTTGGAGATATAGCCCGTCAACGAGGGCCTAATGCTGATGGAATGTGTCACCGTCAAGTTAGTTCTGTATAAAGGCGGCGATGATTCTCACCTTGATTGCGTCCAGGAGGGCGCGGTCCCAGTCGTGTTTTCGCGCCATGACGAATGACCGATGAGCGTAGGAAGTATAGTTGTTCGGACTGGTGTTGATATCTTGAGTGAGTAGTGCTTCGGCGGTAGATAAGTCTCCATTTAGACATGCAATATGGGAGGTCGTGATGGCTAGGATCTGCAGGAAACATGCTCGATTTGTGGTATATGTGAGTCAAGAACGGAAACATGCCTTTGAGCGATGGACGTGGGGAGTAGGTACTGTCCACTCTGAGATCATCTTATCTTCACCTCCACTGAAGATGTGATTGCCGTCCACGGAGAAAGTGACGCATTGCGTGATGGATGAGTGCTGGAAGACGGCAATGGTCTGTCGATCTAAGAGCTGCCAGAGACGAACATGGCTGTCATCAGATGCGGATGCGACGAGTGTGCCAGCAGGATGAATGGCAATGGAATTGATGTAGTCAGTGTGGCCCGTCCAAGGATCACCGACCTGCTTCCAGGTTGTTGTATCCCATTCGCGTAGAGTAGGATCGCTTTTACTGCCACCTGTGAGAAGGCGTGTGCCATCGGGCGTCCACGCGAGTGACCAGTTCCATGATTTGTGAGCCTTGAATGATGTGACGCGTTTCCTGGTGCCTGAATTGTAAATTTCAATATTATTGTTTTCTGTTGCGATGGCAAGAAGTTCTCCAGACGGTGAATACCGTACGCAGTTGATTCGATCACCACACCAGGGATCTCCTTGCTGCTGCCAGGTTTTGGTATCCCATAGTTTCGTCATTTTTTCCGAATATGAACCAGTGGCCAGCACTGTTCCATCGGGAGAAAAATCTAGCGAGGTGATAAAATAGGAGTGTGCTTCGATTTTGGTGAGTAATTCGCCAGTTTCTCCGTGCCAGACGATGACCTCTCCACCACTATCACCGCTTGCTATCAATTGCCCATCCCGTGATACCGCCAAACTCCACACATAACTGCGATGCCCCTCCATCTTCTTCAACACAACACCTGTATTCAAGTCCCACAGACGAAGCGTGTTGTCGTACGAGCCCGTAACCATCCGACGTTTATCAGGGAAAACTGCGACTGCAGTTATCCAATCTTCATGGCCTTTGAACCATCGCAGGGGAGTGGTGATTGTAATGAGCTCCGACATTTTACTGGATGTTGATGGTATGGAATACGGACGAGGCTAAACTTTGGAGGGATTATGTCTTTCTCTAAGCTGCATGGTGTATGGTGCGTGTTATGGTACTTCACAGCTTGCCTCATTTCAATAGACGCCCAGGATATCTAAGGCTGTTCGTGCCCACGCCTTCATCACCGTAATGCACTCACCCCATTGTCATACCCGCTGTCCTCGACAGTATGCACATCTGCAGTGCATGCATGCGTCCGACTCTTGTTTTCGCAGCTTCCAGAATATATCCCATAGCATCAAGTCGAGCAGTCCGTGCTTTCCAGCGCTCGAATCTGACTGTCTATCCTGCCTGAATACGACTGTTTTTCGTATCTACCAGCTACTCCGGTTTATCACCACGTTACTCCTTCGAACGCATGTCTATAGCTTACTGCAATATCACTTTTCCATCCAACAGAATCCCAAGGTCCTTGTGTGCACAAGATGCAACGGACTCGCCTTGCATTTAACCTCTATTTGGCAGGTGGCGGGCCTCTTCCCATGTTTCATAATAAATCTGGAGCAAACTTGAATATGCTGACGGATAACGACAGCCAACGACAATAAAAACAAAGGTAATACATGATTTCACCCCAGAACCATATCCGCACAGCTCTTAGCATTGCATTTTTATCCACTGCGATACTCTTTCCTTCGTGTGGCGAGGGGTGAATATACACGGGAATACAGGGTGCCTGCATCGACTGCCTCAGATAAAATGTAGGGGCCCCTGAGGATGACTCACGTCGTTAAGCCTCCGGTCCATTCCACTCCTTCAGCATCAGGCCCGACATTCCACCCTGGCGCACGTTCCAACCGGAAAACAGTTAGGATATTCACAACTGCGGCGAATAAAGAAGCATCGGCAACATGTCGTCCTACACTGGTAAAAGGTGAGGTAAACCCGTCTATTCACAAAACTCTAAACTTCGTACCAAATACGCCTTCCAAATCCAAAAACGAAGGAAATATCATCACTGGGAGGGCTGTGTGTTGACGGCTCTTCGACGGCGACTTTTGACATGTGACGCTCGGGTATGAACCTCGTCGGGTCAGGATATTTATCTGGATTGCGCGCCATAAACCTTGCATAAGAAGAGATGGTTATGTCTGATCTTTGTTCACTTGACATAATGAATCACCATGCGTTGGGTACTACAGTAGCCCCTTAAGAAACAGTTTTAGAAGGAGGATAGGTCTCTCAGTCCATAGACTGACCTTTTGGAATATAGTAGCCTTCGTAGATGTCTTCATTGACCGTGGCATGTGCAATACCTAAATCCAGTCAGTGACCGTGCTAACGGGAATTCAACGAGTCAAGAGTGCTGACCCAGAGGGGCGACAGGGAACCACCTTAGCGTCTCCAGTATGATGGCATTGATGTAGGGCATA